ACCATGGCAATCAATGACTTTAATCACTACTTTCAAATGCCATTTTGTTTGATGTAGTGTGTACAAATTAATGATGAATAATAGATGCTGTCCACTTACTATTAAATGGTTCCATGTATACATGCCAAAAATGCTACTTCTTTAAAACATGGCTGCAGTAAGCCTGGCTTCCAGCATTTCAAAAGATTGGCTATTACTTAATTGAGTTGCCTATTCTTATGGCATTGAGGGGAAAAAAAACAAAATCAACCATAAAAAGAATTAGGCAACCTATTTGCCTTGCATGCTATTTCAAATGAATAAAATTTAAAAAGACTTAAGCTAATGCAGAAGATGTAGACTTTGGAACATCAGTGCAGAGAACCAACAGTGGCCTTCCAGAGTGTTCTGGATTGCAAGGAAAGTAGGAGAAATAGGCAGGAGCAGGACGCACTAACGGTGAGCAAAAATCTTTCACCACAGGATGGTGGCCTTGTTGGTTTGACACAAAGTGGCCAAGGGAAAACAAAAATATTTCATTAAGTAAATGTTCATCAAGTTGCATGTGTATCCTAAGTGTTTTTATTATGGGGAGAACACCTTTTCAAAAAAAAAAATAAATAAAAAAAGTGGGGATTTTAATCCTTAAAAATAAAAAAAGTAAAAAGAAATCCCCCAGTTTCAGATGACTCATGTAATGTCCAACTAATCTTACCGAATCCTATAAATCCTTCTCCAATCCATATTGATTCAACTCTGGAAGTGGCTTTTTTCCTCTCTCTTTCATAGACTCCAGCAAGATAGTAAAAAAATTGATCCAACCTTTCACCTCTGATGATTACCCTGATGGCCATTAAGAAAAGAATCACCTTCAGGCTGGCCAAGACAGTGCCACGCTTTGGTTCCACTGTAAAGACTAAAGCTAAAGGAAACTCACACTTGGCTGCCTCAGTGTTTGTTTACAATGCTTGTGCCAGTGCTTCGTGCTCACATCATAAATTATAAACCTGGTACCACAGGAACTCTTAACAGGTTTCCCTCACAGTGCATCAATTCTGACAATAACAAAAGCCCACCAAAAAGCTGCAGAAATCACGTGTTGCATCAAACCAAATACAGAAGCTTAGTTTTATATAACCAACATGCATGCAGATGGTCTGCATAAGACACCTACTCTAAACTGCAGTTTGTACACAGTATGTTTGTACCAAGTATATGGCAGGAATTTTGCCCTTGCTACACAACGTCCTGACTGAACATAATGGGAATGTGTCCCCCTCTGCAATTGTTACCAGTTCCTCCCACATTAAAGAACTTCTGAGACTAAAATCCACTGCAGACATTTTAAATGAACAGATGAAAAATCAAGAAGGTAAAAAACTGGGGTCAATCCTAGCTAAATACCAGGTCAAATCCGAGAGCAGGTTACACTCATGGAATTTCAGTTACTCACATTGACAGCAACTACGGCAGACAAAATAAAATCAAAGCCAACTCTGTAAAGATCCCATGTTAAATAAAATACATTCTAAGCACCTTTGGACAATACATGAGGATAAACTGCACAGTGAAAGTATGCACTGTGACAGCACTGTTCTTCTAAACCTTGCACTCCTAATACATTCCTTTAGCCAAGCAAAGGGAAGATAAACCCATTTGCCTAATGGAGCATGTAATTTAAATATTTTAGGCAAGCGTTTACAGAGAGGTTGCTTAAAATAAATTTAACAGCCATCCATCCAAGCAGCTTGATGAAAGGCACTGCATAGTTCACAACTTATTTTTTCAGAGCTATGCAGCCCCTTCAGTTACTCAACCACGGGGTATGCTCTGTTTTACCGAATATAACTAAACACCTCTTCCCAAGCAGATTTAACCTGGAGCTGCAGTTTTCTCTATTGCAGTCACATTCCTAAAGCCACTACAATTTCAGCTCTTAGTGCTGCACCATGCAGTCTTCCACAATTCTGTAAACAAAATACGTTGAAAATTACAGATACTTGAAGGAGTGATGTACTTAATGCAGGCTGCATCACTTCATCATGGGAAGACACAGTAAGCAGTGCCAGTATTCCATCATGGAGAATCACCATTTTTGCTATAAAGATTCTCATTAATGCAAACAGTGCTGTTAGACACACAAACTTGTACCCACTATTACTAGCATTGAAGCAGGTCCTCACTTGACTTAAATTTACCAGCCAAGGATTTTATTACACGCTAGGAATCACATGCTGTACTGTGACCTGCCTAAGGCACAGCAGTACCCTGTAAAATGCAAAGGGTTATAAGAATTACCCCTTCCACATGCACAAAGAAATACACCCATCTAAAAAATAAAAGGATAAAACAGCCTTTAGTATAGGAACGCTTAAAGTGAGCATTTTAAAGAGTTGTGTTCAAGTTCTGCAAGCGTTAGATTTTAACCATGCACGACAGCGCTGCAGGAAAATGAAAGGAAGGGTAAAGGAGAAAGAAAAGAAGGAAACCACCTAACTTTGGCTCCTAAGTTCGTGACGGATTTCACGCTAGTGAAGGAATCGCTCCGTTCCGTTCGGTCGTTGCACAGAGCCATCTCGCCCGCAGCCAAAGCAGCCGGAGCGACGCCGCCCCTCCACGACACGAGCCGCCCGTCACAGCGCCGCCGTGCCGAGGGGCCGCAAGGGTGCGCGGCCGGCAGATGCGGCTTTGGCCATTCGTACGCATCAACTCCTCCCCGCGTACCTCGCGATCGAGCGAGGCACGCCGTTAAACCCGAAGCGCCGAGCTTCGGCGAACAAAGAAGGCCGCTCCGCAATCGCGACGCAAAATCGTCCCCAGACGCGCCGCACCCCGAGGACCCCCGGAGCCCAGCCGCCGCCCGGCCCGCCGATCCGCTCACCACCTCCTCACCGCCTCCACCTCCTCACCATCTCCTCCGCCTTCTCCCGCTTCTCTGCTCTCCGCTGATCTTCCTGGCTGCCGCCGACTTCGCGCTGCGGCCGGGAGCGGGGCGTACGAGGGAAGGAAAAACACAAACGGCGCTCTTCAGCGGAGCGCAGGGCAGCAGCCGGGCAGCTCGGCACTCCCGCACCGCCGGCCCCGCAGCGCAGCCCGCACCGCCCCGCGCATCCCCCGGGAGCGCGGGCCTCGCCGCCTCCTCACCCGGCGCGGCGGCGCGGGGCCGGCCTCCCCCCCTCCTGCTCCTGTCTACAAAGGGCACCCGGGACCATCTCTACCCCCGGGGGAGGCGGGCGGGATCCTTAACCCTTTCCTCTCGTGTACCTCTGCCGGGAGTATTTTGGCTGACGTTTGCGGCGCGGGGCGTTTCTGCGGCTCGCCGCCGCCGGGGCCGCTCGGCGCGCAGCTCCGAGGGCGGCGCCGACAGACGCGCACCTTCCGAAGCCGCATCGAAAATAAGCGACCGCCTGCGGAGCGCCTCCGGCCGCGGCTCCTCGCGCGGGCTCCGGGCCGCGCCGCTGCCGTCCCTCAACTCTTTATTCTTTTAATCGGGGCATTACATTCCGCAGCGTTCACGCTGAAGGGGGGGAGAGAAGCAGTACCCCCGCCCGCCCCACACGCGGCGCGGCGACGTGCGCGGCTCTGAGGGGGCGGATCTGAGGGGGGCGGCCCCGCGCCCGCGCTCCCGCCACCGGCTCAGCCTCGCGCTGCCCCTCCGCAGCCGCCGCGCGAACCGGCGCGCGCCGCCAGCTGCCGCGAATTTTCCTATTGGCCGCTTCCTCCGCGCTCTCGCTCAGCAACCAAAATCTCATTGGTTCTCTACGTTCTCCGGCTGGCCGCCGCAAACCGCGTCGGCCGACGGGGCTGTCCGAACGGCGCGGCCCACCCCCTCGGTGGGTGGGCACGCGGTGCGGCTCGCGGCGGAAGGCGGGAGGGTTCGGGGCAGCCGCTGAGGCGCGGCCAGGGACGCCGCTTCCCCCCCCCCCCCCCCGCGTGACGTCATCCGAGCGGCGCGCGCGGAGGGCCGAGTGGCGGAGCTCCGTTGCGAGGGAGTCAGTCGAGCGCTCTTGCGCGGGTGCGGAGCGAGGAGCGCGGTGGGACGCGCAGCGAGCTGCCAAGCTGCAGGCTTGTCCAGTTTCATCGGGCTGGGATGATTTGATGCCCCGTCAGGTGGTTCCGTCGGTAAATCCGTCGCGTGAGCTGCCCGTCCAGCCGCCGGCAGCGAAGATCTCGCATCGCCACCTATGGCCGCACATAGCGGCCAGGAACTGGGCCGGGGCCGCTGCCGCGGTCAGCGGATCTGACAAGACACTGAAAGCGCGCTCGGTGCGTTCTGGCTACGAGATAGGACAAAGTTAGTAACAGCAGAGCCGGTTCCCTCTTAGTTTTTGTGAGGAACTCGGGACAACCTGCGAGCCGTTCGCCAGGCACGCGGTTGCGGCTCCCAGAGGCTGGCAGCTCTGGCCCGGGCTGCCCGCAGCGCCGCGGAGTCGTCGCCCGCCTGCGAGCTTCGAGCGGCACCGACGGAGGGGCTGAGCGCGGAGCCCCCGGACGGCGCCAGAGCGGGACGTCGCCGCTGCGGGGCACGAAGGAGCGGTGAGTGCGACGGGTCCTCCCGGTCGACAGCAGATCTTCAAAATCCTTCGGCAAGTCAGAGCTGCCGTCCCGCTGCTGGCGGCGGGGGCTGTGGAGGTGACGTGCTTCATGCCACGGCACCGACGGCAGGGCTGACCGCCGACCCCGAGTTTTCTTCAAGATGAGAGGCTTTGCCTCAAAAGCCACGTTACGTACTCCTACATCCCTGGGAGGTCTTTCCATTAATGTTTATTCTCTTGTGCATACGAAGTTTATTACTCTTAGAACGGTCACGGGCTTTCTGCTCTTCCTTAGGAGGCGTTACCATAAAGCGTCCTTAATTTACAAGTTCCACTGAAACTGCCCGTTGCCTCCTGTGAAGGAGTCAGAAATAGGGCGGAGGGAAAAGCGGGGGCACCTGCGCTCCAACGGCCCTGAGCGGCGCGGGAGCCAACCAATGGCGGCTCGAGGAGGGGAGGCGGGGAATCCGTTCTCCAATAGCCCGCGGGGGGCGGGGCTCTCGCAGCCAATCGGGGCGGATGTCGCTTCAAACTCACCGTGCTCCCGGAAGCGGCTCTGCCGGGCTGCGCTGCTGTCCTCGGCGCGCTGGGTGAGTACGGCGCTGCGCGGCCTCGGGGGATGCCTTCGGGTGCCTTCCTGCGTCCCGCCGCAGGAGCTCGTCGACTGCGGGTGTCCCTGTAGGGCCCGGGGCTGTTGGGTGCTGCCTGCGTACGGCCGTGCCTCGAGTCTCGGCTCGGCTGTAGTTGTACGCGTTCCAGTGTTTCAGCTGTGGCTGTAGTGAATGTGCTGTTTTCCTTATCAGTGCTTGTTAATGGAAGCCAAGTGACTAAAAAGTTAGCTAGTTTGTTTCTCTCCTTGTAAACTGTGTGCGCACTGAAATAGAAAGGCCAGGAGCAGGCGGGTATGGTGGGCTCTGCAAAGCGTTTCCGCTGACTGCTTCCTTGTGTTTCCCAAGAATAAGTAATGGTAAGCAATTTTTTGTCACGTTCCTCCCTAGGAAGTGAGGAAGCTAAAGCTAACTGTGTTTGCATAACAGGAGGAAGAAATCCAGAATGGGCCCTGGGCCTGCAGGGGGAGAAAATAGGGACACAAAAATAAAGATTAGGTTATAAGTCTGAGGTCATCAAAGTTGTCAGCATCTTCTTCCTTACACGTGATGTTCTTTAATCTCATTCTGGTTTGCACTGCTGCCTCCTGCAGTGAAGATGGTCCCTTCACCCCGGTAAGGTTACCAGCCCTTCATCCTTCAGGAATAGTCTTTGTACAGAGCAGCCTGAGAGCTGACACAACAGCATCCACCTCTTCCTTCTCTCTGTACCTCACTTTCAGCCCTCCTACCCTTGCTGTGATTTTTTTCCAATTGCTCCTGGTTGCAACTGGGGAAAAAAAAAGAAATCATTCTTTTCAATGTTTTGTAGTTCAGTATGGAAAACTCATTGTAATACTGAAAGAATATCCATCCAGTTTTCTTCTTTCATGAGCTTTTGAGGAATATAGCGCTCGGTTTCCTGTAAACAAATTGAAGCAGTAAAGCAGTTGTAGACTCTGGCTGTGAGTTACTGCTGTGCCACATAACCTGTCAGAATTAAGTGACTAATGATCCTCAGGCTATTTTTTAGACTTGCCTGAAGAACAGTTGTGGATCAGCTGAGAGGTGTTTGAGATTGCTGTGGTAACTGACATGTTATTTATGGCACTTCATTTGGGAGAACAAAATACATAACAAATGACTTCATTTTTCAAAGGCTGCTATTGGGAGATCTTATGAGTGAAGTGGTTTTATGCCAAATTGTGAATTGATTGCTTCTAATCAACCAGATGATGGTACAAACCTAGGAAAAGAACATCCACAATCTATCACAATTTGGTCTCCTGTTACTTCCTGTAACCGCTGCTTTCTCCTGGCGGTGTACATTCAGGTTTTTAACAGAACATTAGAGCTGATAAAACAGCACGCTGTGCTGAGGATGGCAGCACACAATGAGAATGCTAGTTATTTCAATGTCATTTCCAAGCCACCAGCACCATTTGGAGCAGAATGCCTAATCTCAGTGTGTTTGTTGACTTTTGTCAGGCTGGTTTGTGTGTGTTAGGTGTAAGTTGGATGGCAGACTAGAAACAAAGAAATAGAGATTGTTGCCATCATTTCGTGCATGAGAATTGTTGGGCCATTGACAAGGAATAATAAAACTGGATGTTACAAAAGCCTGTTATTTGGAGAGCAGTAAGTTTTTGCAGGGATTGCAACACCTTCTTTTATGTGAGTATAGCCTTGAAAGAATGACAGTTGTATGAAGATATTCAATTAAATATCTCTGTAATCATCATATCTTACTGCTTTGTCTGCTGCAACTAACAGTAGCAGTAATTTCTTATCTAAGCTTCATATAGGGTAAAACAGTGATAGGTAATTGGAATGAAAAGAGAATCAAGGTTAAGTAACTAGTCACTGAAATCTTCTATGCTAAGACAAGTTTTAGAACACTGCTTCTCTTGAATGAGAATTGACTTCAGAGACACATTTTTAACAGTGCAGAACAATGAAAAGTGACCAGAAGGAACTTAGAACAATCTCCCTGGTCCATGAGACTTATGGTTTTCTGAAAAAATAACAACTCTATACCACAACATCCTATATCACAGCTTGGATCGTGAGACTACGGTCTGTTGATTACTGTTATGTCTTTATTGGAATAATGATTCTATAGAAAGCTTTCATTTGGAGTATGTTTATAAAACATTAAAGGATTTTAAAAGTAACACAACCCAAAGCCAATGTAGTTCATGAAAGTCCAAGAATGGCTCTTCAGCATCCGTATTATATTTGCTTTGCTATTTGTTTTTTCATATGTTGCTGACCAAAATATATTTGAACCAGCTTTTCAGTAAGCAAGAGTATGAGCACTGCAATCTGTAAGCTTCACCCCAGAGGCAAGGTTATCCTCTATGTGATTTGTGGCATAATAGATGATCTGCATTTTCTTTGTAGGCTGTTACAGAATGACCTTGCGCTGAGCTTTTGTGGAAAAAACAAGACTTAATCATTCTTCAATGTGCATCATTCTATTCAAATTCGATCCTCGGCCCGTTTCAAAAAATGCCTACAGGTAAGGATGGCTGAAACAGAGCTTTTTCTGCAATTTTTTGTGCAGTTTCTTGTGGCCTATGTTTGAATTACAAACTCAGGAGTTATTACCTGGTGTTCAGTTATGCTCATGTAGTGTCTAACTTAGATTTTCTCTGTGGGAATACTTGAAGGGTTCTCACAGGGTCACTTACATGTGTTGTTTTATGCCCTGGTCAGAGGCTCAGTCTCTAGTTATGGGACTCTTGATGGTGATCTGTCATGTGGTGCAGGATGCGTCCTTCATAAATTCTAATCAGAGTTCCTAGTTCCTGCCTTCTCTTGTATCCTAAGAGCTAAGGGGAATCATGTTTGATGGACCATCAATTGCTTAATTGATCTCAATTTTCTCATTACTTTTTGTTAAGCAGAGCCTTGCTCTTTACCTCTGTAATAAATGATTCTGACCAGCCTTGCATGTCAGCAGTAAGTACTGTGCCATGTTGTTCTTGGTGGCTGATCTTTATTTTATTGCTTCAATCAAACACATAACTTCAGTCCCTTTTCTCCTTCCTTAACACACCATGGCTAAACTTCTTTTTTTTTTTTTTTAAAGAAAGTTGAGATGCCTGGTTGTTGTATTTTTAGTTTTTACTCTAGTTTCTTCACCTTTGTCTCAGCTTTCTGAAGAACATAAATATCAGCTGGAGATGTTGCCCAGTTCTCTGGGAACTGGGAGCTCTCATTTCTCTATGAGACCTCTCTGCACTGGCCTGCTGCTAACTGCGCTTTCCCTGAGGGCTCCTGTGTGTAACATTGTGCTTGAGCTCTGTTTACTTCGCACTGAGCTCATGGAACGCTTCTCCCAACCCAGAGGGGGATCTCTGACTGCAGGCCTGCCTGCTGTGTTTGTCCACCTCAGAAAAGACATCTACAATTAGCTCTTATTATCCATTACTTTGTTTCTCTTGGTGTCTAACCATTGAAAGTTGGAAACACAAACTGGGTTTCTTTGGCCGAGCTAAACAGTGTTCTCCATAATGCTTGGGAGGGTTTCCCATCCTAGAGAACTTGATTTCCACAGCAGTACATTTGGCCACTTTTTGTGGGTGCCTGAATTAGCGCAAAGCTTGCAGATGACCTGAGTGCATGAACGAATTCCTGTCCTGTATGTTTGCAGCTGACTGTTCTGCCCTTGGTGCTCTCTCTGGGGACCTATGAGAAGTAAAGCTCAGGGCAGTGTAACAAATGCTTTACTGTAGTCATTATCATTGTCAAAGTTACTGCACTGCCATTATGCTATTCCCAACTATACTGTGTGCACCTTAAGAATAAATATGTTTTAACCTTCAAAGCTGTAACTGGAGACTTTTTATGGAACTGAATTTCATTGTATGGAATTGCTTTAATGGAGCGATTTCTCATGTTTTTCTGTCTCAATGTTTAAATAAATCCTAATTAGTAAGTCCTACTACAGTTAATTTCAGCTGTAAAATAGCTGAACGGGCCTTTTGCAATTTATTAGATGCCAAGGGTCACTTCAATAGTGATGCTTTTCACTGTGATTATGTTCCACAAATGACTAAATGAAGATGCTTTCAACGTACCAATCCTGTCTACTAGCCTTGTGCTAAATGCCAAAATTTATATATAAACTGAAAGATGGGGAATATTCTACCACACTGGAAAAAATCCACTTAATACTATTTAGGTTCCATAAACAAGTAGTGTTTGCTTCACTAGGAAGAGCTGCTCTTTTTCCCCGTGCATCTTGTATAGGAATTGCTTCCCAGAGACTGTGCTGAGCTACATCTCCCACACTGGCAGATGCCTCTTGGATCCTCTTTCCAAATAAGGAGCAGAGGAAGCCAGACACAGCAGTGACAGAGAACACTCTGAGAGTTATTTCCTGCTTGTGTTGTTTAAGAGCTATCTGCTTTAGCTGGATATCCAAAGAGTGGCAGAGCACTTTGAGTACAGGATGGCTGTGGAGTAAAACGTGCTTATTAAGAAATAAATGTGTTTCACCCAGCAGCAGTTTTCAGTTGCATATTTCTTACAACATCTGCCTGCCTTCTGACTGAGCAGCCTCCAGGGCTTCCTACAGCTTGTCTGCTGTGAGGACTCTCATTAGATATTCACATCTTGTTTCCTGCTGTTCTCAGATTATGCAGCAACCATACTTGCAGAAAGGTAAAAAGAAAAAAAAAGGGGGGAAAAACAAAACAAAAAAAATAAAACAAAAAAAAACAAATAAGAAAGGGGAGCACTCTCCATCCCCATATACTTCTTGACTGTTGCAGAAAAGCGTTATTTTCCCTTTGCATCTCTGCATTGTTGAGTGTGCTGTCTTCTCTTATTAATTGAATGAATTTCAGTCAGGATGGGCCTTGGAGGCTATCAGGTTTGTCTCTGTCCTGGATACTTTCAGACAAAAGTATTGTATCTTTCTACTGCATAAACAGTGCTTTAATTGTTGAAGTTAAATTAAAAAATGCTGTGGTTGTGTGGCCCTAACTAAAGATAAAAAACATGTTCTTGTGCTTCAGATAAGCTTCCTATAACCTGCAAGTTCCCTTTAGAGTTCCTTGGGTTGATTTTTTTATTTTTTTTTTTTTGTTGGTTTTCTTTTTTTTTTTTTTTTAAGCTGTAACTTCACGTGCTGAAGAATTATAAGATTGCTTTTCAGTCTTAACTCAATCTCTTGCTTTGCAAGCATTTTTCTGTTCTTGGATATGAGCCTCATTCGTGCAGTAAGATGAATTTGCTAAATATCTCAGGACAGTGTGAGAGAAGGCTGTGGTTAGCTGATGTTCAGCTTCTATGCTGATAGAAGTGAGATGCTATGGTAAAGGGTGGTTTAATGCTTACAGTGAACTGTTGCTGTGGCAAAAAATGTTCTGTTATTCTCTGTGTTATAGAATCCCTATTTCCAAGTACATACCTTGCTACTCTTGTGTTCTACAGACTTATTCTAGCTGCTAATAGAGATGAATTTTACAGCAGACCATCCAAATCAGCAGATTTTTGGGACAGCAGCAATGAAATCCTGAGTGGTACGTAATGTTCTTGTATTTCTTGTTGTCCTGTGTAGAGAGTGCGATGTGCTGTTATTGTCTTATTTGTGTTTTGAAGTCATGTAGTGGTTTTCCTCCCAATTTTCTTTCTACTGACTTTAGGCCAAGCAGTGTAATGGAAATATAGTAATATGTTTGTCCATCACAAACAATTACTTGAGCTTTGGCAGATATGCTGAAATGCTTTCTTAAATAGGTGGAATTAGTTACTCTGCAGGCTCACTGTCTGTACTAGTGACTGGAAATCATTAAAACAAGCCTCAAGGAAATTCTTGTAGTTTCTTATCAGTAATTTATAGGCTACATAGTGGTTTTAGTTATTGATCCATTAGTTTATTAGATTTGATCTACAATCAGTTCAGTAAAATGTAGTTATTCAATTGTCTACTTTTCCTTTGTAGGGAATCTATCTGCAGCCTTGGGTAGACAAAGCAATGCTTAGATCCAAGGCAGCAAACAGTATTTGCAAAGTCACGGGTGTTATTGTCACACATTGTGTGTTATTGTCATTGGCAGGGAGAGCTGTGAGGATAAATGACTCCCACTGCACTGCAGCTCCTTTGCTTCTCAAGCTCTGCCTGACATTGCACTTCTGTGCCAGACATTCTGGGTGCTGCTTCCCTCGTGTCACAGGAATTTAAAACCAAAGAACTACCCCGAAAACTGAAGAGACCTGAACTTTCTCTTGCACCTTTGTCATCTCTGCCTGCATTTGGCATGAGAACACACATTCTCCATTCAGTGGGTCTGTCTGTGGAGAGTCCATTAATATTCTTCCATTGAGTTAAAATTGTTGAATCAAAGCAGCAGTTCAGAGAACAAAAACATTAAATTCTTCCATTGTATGAATCTATGAACATTTTTGGACCGGATATAAAGCCAGGAATTGCATATGTTTACATATCAGTGTAGCTGTATGTTTTGTTTTTGTGTACCTTTTAGTTAAGGTGAAGATACTGATGAAGTGTTGTGCAAGGATGTGACAGAGCTAAACTTGACACTGAAATTCTAGAGACTGAAGGAAGGAAAGAGTTTCTGAAATAGCATCCAAGACTTGGTTTTCTTCTCTAATGAAGGATCTCTTATGAGATCTGAGTTGAAATTTTTCCAACAATATGCATGTTAGATTGCATAGAAGAGTCTTGGTTGTGGCTTCCTTCTTGTAGCTGCTGACAATTAGCACACCCCACCTCCTAGGCAAGTTACTGTTACCACAGTATAATATTCTGCAATTACCTAAATTACTCTAAATTGTTCTGTTTACTTCTAAAGTCAAACTTGCCAGTAGTGTTAATCTTCTGAGACTTTGCTTTTGAATGAACAAGCATTATGAGCCTACTTAGTTTTCTGTGTATTGTGGCTTACAGACATAGCTTGTAATTTCACTTTTACACCTAATGCACCTTTTACATCATTCTTCATCATCTATTATTTGAGTAACTTGCTAGTTCAGAATCGTGGATGGGTAATAGAAGTGCTCTTACCCTCATGCGTACTTATCCAAAAAGATTGTACTGACTGTATTTTATTCAGCCTCATCAAGACTCAGCATCTGTATGAAGAAATTATTTAAGCTTGAGATTTTTGAAGATGACTGTAATCACCTAGTTCTTATTTTATTAGGTCTGGATATGGAGGAAGGAAAAGAAGGTGGGACGTGGCTGGGAATCAGTAAAAAAGGCAGGATGGCAGCCCTGACAAACTATATGCAGCCAACGACTGACAAAAATGCAAAAGGAAGAGGTATGAAGGGATATTATTTATATTTTTTATTAATCCTTTTATGAAGGAATGTGTTTTTGATTACTGTCACATTCTGTTGGTGGAAGATATCTTCTGTGGTGTTGTTTGTTTTACCAAGCCCTTCAGATTAGTAAGTTCACGTGGTCAAGTTGCTCTGTGTACTTCTTTCTTAGGTGCTCTTGTAACGAACTTCTTGACTTCAGACCTGGACTGTTACTCTTACTTGAAGAAAGTTTCAGTAGAAGGACATCTTTATAACGGATTTAATTTAATAGCAGCTGACTTGAAGTAAGTCTACAAACTTCAGTGTCACAGCAGAAAGATAGCAGTAGTGAAGTACATGTATTTGTGAGCACGAGTGTAATAATAAGAAGCCTGTCACCAGACAAGCTCTCACTTCACTTTGTTTTGCCAGTTGGCAGGTAAGAGCCCAGTGTCAGCCTGGTTGTAATTCCCTTTATTTTTTCATCTTTCAAATGCTCAGTGGCTGCCTTGTATTCTAACTAATTCTTAGGAGCTCATAATTGCTCTTTTCCCTGCAGATTGTGTTATGATTTCAAGAGAGCAAAACCTTGACTCTATAATTTCTCAGAGATGTACGCACTTTTGTTTGATTATAAAATCTCTTATCCTCAAACTTTCAATCTAAAATTCAGTTTGCATTTATTTTTCTATATCCTTCAGGCTTCCTGCCTTGAAAAAAATAAACAGGAACAACCAAAAATCCTATACTGGAAAATGACAAAGCAAATACTAGAAAATGACAAAAGCAAAAATTTGGACTTGATGATTTATTGTTTTTCCACGCACAGTTTATGTACAGCTTCTCCAACCTCAGGTTTTGGCTGGTGAGCCACAGTGACTTAGGAGAGAGTTCAGTATTACAGCATTAGAACAGAAGTTGAAACTGCTGTGTCTTTGTGGGCTGGACAAGCAAGTATCCCCCATTCTACCCTTCATTTTTCCTGTTGGGTAGCATGCTGTGGCAAGGTTAGAAGAGCTGAGAGCTTCTAGGCTGATATTACTGTCAAAGTTCCCTCCAACCTCCCCACTTTGATGCAAGTATGGTTGGTTGCTGCTCTCTTTCTACTGTTTTGTGTGGCTTTGTTGTTTCCTTAAGAAAGGCTTTTATTTCAAATTCTGCCTATTTTTCATTTTTAAATTTACTGTGTTATGGTGGGAAAGTGAAATAAAGCTCAGAGATAACCAAAGTCTGAACTGAATTTATAAAGGCAGATATGCCACCTGTAGAGATAAGAGTATAGTTCTGTTTTTTTTGAAACAAGCAGAAAAGTTGGTGCTTTCAGAATGTTAATCTGTAAGCTTGTCAGACAGTTCGTGTTTGCTGCTCTCCTTTACAGTTTGTTATCCTACCAGTGACTTGACAAGAATTTTTCCTTTTCTATACATTAATTTTTATCGTGGTCTGAGGACTTGATTTCTTGTACTCTCTGCCACACGCTGCTGCCTGGCTGCCTTTCACAGGTTGGAAGGCTATCTGGAATTTCAAAGATAATGGAAGAATTAGTCTCACTATGTTTTTAAGAAAACACAGTACTCAACATGTTTGATGTAAAGTAAGCAAGCAGTAAATAGTTTTGATTTTCTTCATTTTAATTTAGATGTGTTTAATAGTTGTAAAGCCTGTTAGTGTAATGATGTTAAAGTAGTTTTGATTGATGTTACTAAAATAATAATTCATGTGTTACTATTTAGTTTGCTTGATTATTTTTTTTTATTTTTTTATTCTATGCTAAGGTAATAGGGAATTGTCTGCTCAGCTGGATAGACCTTTTGTGGTGATGCAGGTCATGGTTTCATGCTAGGTACCACTTTGAAGGCTGTATGTGTTAATTCTCCATTGTGACATCCTTAGCCTTGGATACTCTGGTGAAATGAAATTCTTGGCGAGTTAATGATGCAAAGCAATTTCTATAAAATATATAAACCTGTCATCTTAGGAAATTAGAAATAGTCCTGAGAGGTGGGGTGTACGAATGGAAGCTACTTTCCTATGTAAATAGAAAAACATTATGGTAGCTGATGTTATTTTGTTGAACCATGTTACTGTTCAAAGAAGAGATTGAAGCCTATTCTTAACATGTTCATCTCTTGTATGACAACAGCAACTGGCTCTGCTACAGTGGTGTGAAATGGAGAGGAAACTCCAATTGGAAGAGTAAATGAAGCAGTGTTGGGAAGGGGAATATCTGAGCATATGATACTGCTGTCTGTAGGTGGCATGCTTGAAGAGAGATTGACAATGTTTGAGTTCTCAGGTCCTTAAGAAAACAAACTTACTTTCTCTCAGTATTACTGTGATGACAGAACAGGTGCAGTGATAAGAGAGAGGGAGCTGGAAAGAAGCATAAGGGTTGTGAAATCTGGTCACTTATTTCCACAGCTTTGTATGACTTATTTTAAACAAGCATGTTCTTTGATGCTTCTAGTGCCATTCATTAACTGTGTTCAACACATTCTTATTTGCATCAAGGCTAAGACATGTCCTTCTAGCTCATGGGAAAATAAGGAGCTGGAAATGGCATCTCTTCTTTATTCTGTTTTATGGTACTCAGTCCAAATTCAATTCTAACTGCAAGTTCTGTGTCGTTTTCTTTTAAATTCAAAGAATATTTCCTGTTTCAGGAGGTGGAGTTTGCTCATGTTTACAGTATAGCTGCCTGCTTTCCATGCAGCAGTTTTGGGTTTTAGTGAATTGCATTACCACTGTGTTTAAAAATGATGATGGTAACATTTGACTGTGGTGTGATAGACTGTTTCAGAGGAGGAGAGTAATGAAATTCATCAGTTAATTTCTGGGCTGTGGTGTCAGAGCAGCAACAGTGCCAGCAACATTTTGCTCTGTTTGAAGGTTGTGTGGAATTAGCAAGTAATCAACTACAGAAGCTGATGGTTTTTTCAAGGAGAAATTCTTGTTTGTATTTTTCAGTACCACCAAAGGAGATGTAATTTGCTACTATGGAAACAAAGGAGAACCAGAACCTGTGTTCTTAAATCCTGGTAGGTTCACATCTAAAAGATTGGAATATTACTCTGTTACTTTAAAGGACTCAGAATATGGTCATGTTCTCCAGTATTTTGGCTGGTTAAGCATTGTCTTTGCTAACTTTCCTTGCATTCTTAAAAATAAATGCTTAAATTCATTTAAGTATTTGCTAATATATCTCAGTAGAGTCAATAGTTTATAACAGCTTCTATCCTTGTCAGTGTTCCAATCTCCACTGCAGTTACTGGAATGTTACTTAATTGTGATCAGGGGACAAAGGTCTATCTTGAGAAATGGCATTTTCAAAGTCAGAGGTAACTTCTCTTACTTTGCAGAGTTAAGAAGGTAATTTGACTGTGTCCCCCTAGGGACAGAATTGGCTTTAAAAAATAATGAGCTTTTATCTTTAAATTAGGTAGACTGATTTAAAATATTTAAAATCTAGTCCTTTGCTAGCCAGCTATATAGGAGACTCCAGTATTCATCACCAAAAACCAGCAGAAATGGACTGAGACATGCAGAATGCTGTAGCTGGTTGATAGCAGTTGTGAAGGCTGTGTTAATATACCAAGGTTTATTTTGCTTGCTCAAAACAGTCAAAGCATTGCTGCCAATAGGCAAATAGTTACTGTACCAGTTATGGCATCAATTCTTGGAAACAGCTATTAGACTTTTGTACAACCAGAAACACAAAACAGACTTTAACACAAACAAAAAGCTGGTCACTCCTTTATTGTGTTACCTCTGTACAATATGAAATTGAATTTCATTGATTTCATAATGTATGAAGCTTGGAGAATTGGAATTGCTTTACAGAAATAAAGCCAACAATGTAGTGATTAAGAGTTATTTTGTGTTTAGGCTGTGCAATACCCTCATGTTTCTGTTAGTGTTGTGCTCTGGGCAGGGAATCTTTGGGGTTTCACAAAAGTCTGGGAGAAGGTTAAGTTGTTTGAAGTGTTACACGCTACATTTACATGTTATGTTTTTTTTTCCTCCTTTGTGCATTGCACATGTATAGGAATATATGGACTGAGTAATTGTTTGTTGGATACGCCATGGAAGAAACTGCAGTATGGGAAACAGCTTTTCACAGAAGTCATCAACAGAAGTCAGGACCTTGCCAAGGAGGATTTGGTGCAGGAGCTCCTTACAGTGATGAATAATCAAGAGCCGTAAGAAAGCAATATAGAGAGGCCAACTTCACAGAAAACAGCTTAGTGCCAGAGATGGTATGATGGAGAATTAAAAATAATAATAATAATTTCTTCTACAACTTTTTCAGTCAATTACCTGACCCTGCAATTGAAGACCAAGGGAAGGAATACATACGTCCTATACTGAACAAGTATGCAGCTGTGTGTGTTCGTTGCCCAGGTTATGGAACAAGGTAATATTTCCTGCTGGACCAAAACATCAACAAAATCTCAATTCAAATGGATGTTGTCATAAATGTTAACTCTTTACTGAGCGTTCTGTGTTTCTTCTGCCTCTGTGCTGTTTCAGGGCAAACACAGTCCTCCTCATTGATGCAGAAGGGAACGTTACTTTCACAGAGCGCACCATGGTCAACGAGGATGTCAGCCAGTGGAAAACAAGCACCTATGAATTCAAACTGCACATGTAACAACTTTCCATTTGAATGCATTGTAATAAAAGCAATGAAAGCAAGCTGTTAAGCTCCAGGAAATGTTTTCTGCCAGCCTCTGGAAGCCAAAAATAGCAAGAGAAGCAAAAGTTGTTTTAAATAGATCGTATAAGCTATCAATCTCACAAATCCTTTGCATAAAACCAAGTTTCTTGCTGTTCTTACATTAAGTTACAACTTTAAAACAAATTTCTGGCCCCATGGCTTTGTTTTATCATCTAAGCTTAAAAAACTAAAATCCAATGGAAAGTACCAACAGGATACTGTGACTTGCATATCACTTATTTATTTTTATTTCAACCAAAGCTGAGAATATATGCAGCTTCTTGGAGAATCAATCTTCAGCTAACCTTCAAATCTAAATTTTGTCTAAAAGTTAGATTTTTATCATTTGCACTTGGAATTGAAAGGAAATCAGCTGCAGTTCCATTTCTCACAGGTTCCTCTAATTTCTTTTCGCTCGGATACAACCACACTGCATGATGCCTGAAACCAATGTCTAGCAGCCACAGAACAAAAGATCAGAGGCATCGTGAGGCCACCTGGTCTAACACCTGTTTCCAGGGCAAGGCTGTCTTTGCCCAACATGCAAGTTGTTCTTTGTTTTTTTGAAGTATGTTTTAAAGAACTACTAACCTTGCATTCAGTTCACAGGAGGAGAAACACTTGCCTTTGTTTTTCACAAAACTCCTCTCCTTTCAATATATAATTTTAAGATTGTAAGCTGATGCCAGTGTGTATTGAATGAATGTATGTTTTCTTTGTAGCATTAAGTGCTTTAGTAATATTTAAACTTGTCACTGTGCCACGGTGCATTGTTCTGGAGAGGGTGGGAAGGGAAGAATTCTTTGTTTTGTTTACCTGTAAATAGTACAGCAATAGATCTTAAGTACTCTCAAAGCTAGTTTTAGAACTAAGAAATTAAGTTGTCACTGCTCAGTTTTATTCAGTAAGGTTTAGAGTTGTTTATCTTTGAAAATAATAAAATTGTGTACTGTGACATCTTGTTTGCTGGTAATCTCATTAGCAATATTAGTTTTTTTTTTTCCTTCCCAACCAGAGGGATAAGGAATAATTATGCTTGCAAATGGAAACTGAATATGAAGTGACACTAACTTGAGACAACCTTAGTGATCTGCATACCTGGATGTTGCAGTGGAGGTGAAATTTGTAATTATCTATCTATAATTACAAATAAATTGATGGAGAATTCAGAATCACCTTTAGAATGGAGTATCTGTTGTAATGTGACTTGATTCAGCCATGCTGAAAAGATCACTCCAGAATTCTGTATCTAATATCTTGTGTGTGTACTTTTACGAGTGGTCATAGCACAAGGTATGGGAGGGGAGCAAACAGGCAAAAACCTCAGCAAATAGGGCTGGGAAGTTGGAGGATCCATGGTAGCATTTTCAATGGAAGCAGTAGGATTAACAGGCAATTAAAAAAGAATAACCACCATTTTCTGAGCAGCTTTGGTAAAATTCCACTTTTCGACATGCATTTTGTTTCCATCTCATTCTGTGATTGATATTCTTTGTCTTTACTAAATACAGTGTGAATTATCACAGTACTTATTAAAACTGTGCTTTATTTGCCTTATTAAATAAACAGGTCTCCCCAGAAAACCTTGATTTATATTCAAGCATTATAAAAGTCCATGTGAAGCTCTGATCTCTCTCCTGAAGAGTTTAAGCTAGAAGTGACATTCGGTGATGTGTTTTGTGGTTTTTGCTTGTTTTTAAATCTAAAGAAAAGCCTTGGACATGGGTTGCAAATCTTCTAATGAGGATGTGATTATTAGATATGTATGCAACTTGAACTTCGTTGAATTATTTTGGATAAATATACACGATTGGCTACTAGAAGTGATACAAAAGGCAATGATACTGTATGCTTGGTCTCTGCAGTTATGATTATGTAACTGTGACTTAAAATACCTCAAGCAAATATATAAGCTGGCCTTTAAGTAGGCTCTTAAGAGTGTTTTAGTCCTTATTTAATATAATCTAAATTGATGGGACTTCAGCATACATTTGGTAATCAGTGTATTTTTAAATATTCTCAGTAAAACGTTCTGGATCTACTTTTATAAAACCTTGGTTTTGAGCTTGTTCTCTGTGCCCTCTGAGGAAAGCACTACATACTGATAGCAGTGAGGTACTTCACAAGCCTGTCCTCTAGTGACAGAGGAGGTGTATTCAGTGGATCTCATCTGATATCTCAGCCCTGATGGGCACGCAGCCAGCGGTAGTCAATAACTTATCTGATGGTGTAAACATATTGATTGCTTCTGCTCTGTGAAGAAAACCGCATCACTTTTCAGGTGTTAATTAAGATAGATTAAATAATAAGCTGAGAATATGTGGAGCCAATAGTGTCATTTCTTGTAGTACAACATTATAACCAGTATTCAATAACTGGGGCTTTTACCTCTCCTTATGAGAAAGTATTCTTCTTAGAGAAAAAGTGGGAAAGCAAGCTTTTCTCTTGGTATGCTGGCTCACTTGTGAATGGCTGTTGGAAGTCACCATAGAGCCAAGGTCTTAGCCACGTGCATTTATCTGTGTTCTGATTTTCCCATCTCAACTGAATGCATTTCATTTGCAAAGCAATTAGCTGTCCTTTCAGTTAGAGTGTACAAGTGTATGTATAGTAACTACATGCAATATAATATTTAATATATTAATATTTAATTTAATATATAATATATAATAGTAAATCTTAAAACAATTTTTGAGTTCATGTACAAAAATAGTTTTACATGAAGTAATTATTTTGACATGTGGATTATATTTTTAATTGCACTGTATTTAACTTTCTGTGTTTGAGAGCTGTTGCAGGCTGCCAATTTATGTAGCTGCAGTTGGAGTGTTACCTGGATGTAGACAAGGCTCAGTCATTTGTACTCTGGCCCAATATGTCCAGGTGCCAGGAAAATGGTCTGCTTGGAAGCACCTCCATGCTGAAATTCAAAGCTTAATTTTTACAGAGCTGCAGGTAGTCTTGGATCAATTTGCTTCCCCCTCAGTGTCCAATGTAGCTGAAATGTGAATACTGTATACAGTCACCTGCATATCATAGAGATTAGAAGCTAACACTAAACAGCATCTTAATACCTTAACTAAGGATATCTTTTTTAAAAAAAGAGCTCCAGATCTTTGAGTGCAGAACAGCACGCTGTAGGCTGTAACCAGAGTGACTCAGCTCCGTTAATGTGGTCATTATAGTTTCCATCTGCTTAAAAATACATATTGTAAAATACCCACATCTGTTTTACACCTCAAATTTCTTTTGTGCCTCAATGATTAGTGCCTAAAGTATGTTTTTAAAGGTAAGCCATACTCATTTTTCTATCATGAATGTCTTTGGAAGGCAAATATCTTTTTTTACTAGAATTACAGTAGTGTAGTCTGAGTTTAAAAATTGTCTTACGGTAGATTTAACTGTTGGAACAGCACAGCACGTACTGCAGTTACTGACATTCAGCCAGAGAACGGAACATTGACCCCACCTAATTCTTACTGCACTGCGTGCAGCCTATGAACTCCTTGGGAAGCCAGCAGTACTTTTCATTACTGAACTCTTCGTTGTTTTGGTGGCACCGACTGTTTGCCCTGTCGAGGGAAGGGAGAGCTGTTCCCTTCATTAGCAGCATCTCAAAGCATCAGCTGTTGCATTTTTGCTGGAATTCAGTTTTATGACTGTGAAAACAGCTGCACAGCGGAAGCTGACGTAGCAGTTGTTTGACGTTCAAACCACTGTGTTTTAATTCTTCCTGACTGACTTTCTGACTCTCACACTGCAGGGTACACAAAGCTGAGACACGTCCCGTGCTGTGGGAATTGTCTGAACGGAGCTGGGAGGCTTCACGGCTGCGGCCCCCTGCAGCACGGCCTTCCACAGCCCGCCCCGGAGCCCCTCAGCGCAGGTCGCGCCGCTTCCCGCCCCGGTCGCACGAAGCACTGACGGCCGCGCGGCTGCGGACAAAGGAACCGGGCCGGGCCCCGCTCCCGTCACGGCCGGCCGCGCCCTCCCGCCGCCTCGGTCCCGCCTCCTGCCCCCTTTCATTGGTCTGGCTTCGTAAGGGCGTGCACTTCTTGCGTCCTTATTGGTCGAACTATTTAACGTGCTCGAGAATCTGTCAATGGTAACCAGGATTTCAAATTGGAGACGCATGAGACGGGAGACGCCATTGGCTAGCGGAGGGGAGAGTCCCGCCCTCGCGGAGCCGCTCAGAGCAGGAATTTAAAGATGGCGGCCGAGGCGATGGTGGCTCGGAGCAGGGGGCGGCTTTCGTGAGGCGGCCGAGCTCGCCCTCCCACCACCCCTTCGCGGAGGAGAAACCGGGGCGCCGGGGATGGCCCAGGTGGGTGCCGGCCTCGTGGGGCAGAGGGAGGCCGTGAGAGAGCGGGCCCAGCTGCCTGGAGGGCTGTAACCCTTCGGTCCCCGCAGGCCGCGGGGCGGCCCCGGCCCGCCGTCCGTTCGGGCGGGCACCGCCGTCAGGCGCCCCGCAGCCGCGCGTTGGCATTTGTTGCCTTCTCCCCCCTCCCCCCTCCGCTCGCTTCGCTGCGGGCGGCGCTCAGAACAGCAGGAGGGACGGGAGCGCCGCGTTCTCGTTGGGGCCGGAGGGGCCTCGGCTGCGGCCTCGAGCGCTGAGCGCTGCCGCTCCCGGGCCGCACGGCCCTTTGCAGCACGTGCTGCGCGTCCGGCCGCCCCGGGGGGCTGTGGGGCGGCGAGGATGGGGCGGTGCGGCCTGCCGAGCTGCACCGTGCGGCTGCGCGCGTTCCCGCCGCTCGTGCTCTCTGTGAAGCGTCGTGAGGGCTTTCTCTGAATTTCCTCATTCGGTCTCTGGAAAGTTTAGGCTCGAAAACTTCTAAACTTTCTTCTTCCCTCCTGAGAAAGCAGCCTTTCCGTTTTGCACCTCGTTTTTCTTTAAGCTTCGCGTTCGTTTCTGCAGCTTTCAGCTGATGGGGATGGGCCCCTCATTATCCCTCCTAAAGCGGGCGGAGCGCATCTCGTCCCTTCAGTGCCCTTCGTGCCTTGCGGGCGGCGCAGTCCGGTCTTTGACTTTTCCTTTATGAGCGGGGCTCTTCTTCCTTCTGTTTAGATGATTAAACATAACTGTTCCCGTTTCTAATTGCGGCTGAAAGGTTAGTACCCTTCTTCTTCTGAGCGGTGTCTCCTGATTGTTGCCAGGATGCTATTTTTAAAAGGGTGAGAAGAGAAATTAGTTCCTAATTGTGCTGTTTTCCTTTACAAGTAGGAAGCCTCTGGGAATGCAGTTGAAGAATATTTTTTTCTTCCTTCTGAGGCCCTAAATTGCAGATTTAAGAACAAATGAACTTACCTTCCATGTTGCACCATTAATTGCAGCCATCTAAACTCTGCCTGAGAACTGGGCAAGCTCTCAAAGCACACTCGCTCTGCTGTTTTCTGATGGCACTTTTCCCAATTTATGTAATTCTGCTAGCTCTGAAATGGGATGGTGCTACAGAGGTTCTTCATTCTTATCTGGATTTTGTACTGGCAGTAACTGTTGGGCCACTGAGTGACTTTTCTTGCACTGCTTTGATGACTTGCGCAAAATGGCTGGTGGTTTTCTTTTTTTTTTTTTTTTTTTTTTTTTCAGAATATTTCTGTGCTAAAGTTGGCAGTGTGGAAGGAAATATGTATGTAGTAGTAGTCCACTGAATATCCTTCTGCAGAGATTTCCTATGCAGATTTAATGAAAATAATCCACTTCCCTGGTTTTGTTTTCTTTTGGCAGTTCATAATTAATGATTCAATGTCGTTTTACTGTACGTATCAGAAAGATACAGGTGTAGATAATAGAAAGGGTCTGAGGTTGACCAAGATAGTAGGTTTTCAAGTGGTTGTTGCCTTGTGAGGAGGGAGGCTGTGTGTTTCAGAAGCAAATAAGCAGCCACTCTACCTTTTGGGGCGTCTACAAGATATGAAGGAAGCAGTTTCTGATGATGAAACCAATTTCTTTATCAAATGACTTTTGGAAGATAGAATCTGTGATATGCTGTTCCTTGTTCCCAGGAGCAGCTGCAGGTATCCACGTGTTCTTTGTTGAACTTGTTTGTGAGTCTCCATATGTGCTGTTGTGGGAGTTTGCTGGTTACACATTCTAACGTTCTAGTTTTCTCTTAGAAAAGAGGTGCTGTTTCCTCTGTGTTTCTTTCATGATCCTGCTGTGCTGATTGAGAAGAAG